AAAATAAACAGGACTCCTTCCTTGGGATCATTTAAAAAAAATTAAACCCAATATTTGAAAATCTAAGCACAATTTTCTACTTCTGCAGTAAATAATATGTCCAGATCATCAAAGCTTTGCTTCCCATTAGATAAATAACTAATTTTTATCAAGCACTGCATTTCTTTCTGTCCTTGCTTGACTTTTCCCTTCAGTTAATTGTACATTTTGTTGCTTTTCTCCATAGTTCTCTCTTTAAAATTCGCAAGCAATGGCTTATGCTTTGTATGGGGACAAAAGTGAGTCTGCTCGTCTGGTTAGCTTCTCATACATTACAGGGTCAGTGCTGCTGATTACTTGCAAAGTAACAAATAACATGTCAATGTTGAAAAAGGGCAAACAAAATGGGAGGACAGCATTTTATGGATCAAAGTTGGCAATGCAAAACATACACAAATCCCATGTTTAAATAAGGCAGTGCCACGACTGCAGGTAATGAAACCTGCAGTCGTGCTAGAGTCGGGTCCAGACTGCTATTTTTACCTTCTCCTGGATTTAAAGGTAATGCCAGCCTCATTAAGGCACCAGCAGGGGGAGATAATTAGATTACGTCATCAGACTGAAGAGCAAATGGACTCTCTTCAGTTCCAGTCAAAACACAGGCTAAAAGGTCACTGACCTAATCTCTAAATGCAGCGCACTTAATGTGCTGACACATCCTAGTCTTCACACCAAGATCTAGTCCTCTAAAGCAAAGCTTTGTTAAATGGTGACGATGTGATTTGGTTTGTCTGCATCACAAAATGTTTCTCCGTTACGGATGCAACACCAGGCCTCCTCTGGGCAGCAGTAACGTAAGCGAGATCTATGTCTGCAGGGAGAATGTCTGTCTGGCTCCACTCATCCAGGCTGCTTGCATGATACATCAGGACGAATGCTGAGTATCGATCCGAGCTCGCTCTCCTTTGAGACAACTAAAGGTCAGTCTGAGGCAAAGTGAACACCAGAGGAGCAGAAACAAGAGACCCGAGGACAGAATGAACTTAAAAGTTTCACAATCTTGAAAATGATCAGAATATCTTGTTTTTTTTTTTGCATCTCATCTTAAATCAGCAGCTTAAAGGGAAACTTGTCTCCACTACAAACTCTTAGCTTATTTAAAGGGAAAGTTACTGTATGTTTACATTTACAATCCCTCTGCAAAAACAAGCACAAAGAAATGTAGGCCAGCCATCAGTAAGTGAACACAGACAACAGCGACGTGTGTGTGCTTGTGATGATAAAAGTGATGAGTAAAACAGATGTGATTCCATAATACTAGCTACTATGACAGGGCAGCTTTGAAGTTAGCAACTGGATGAGATGCAAACAGATAACTGGGATTTATAGCTGCTTTAAATCTTTGCTGGGCTTTGCTTTGTGCGGTGAAAAAACACCATGACAGATCTGTTTATTGTACAAACCTGCCAGAGAAGGCAGGGTTATGTTCACTTTACACATCCACTTTGAGACATCTGCAGCTGCTGTTATCTGCACTGTTGAAGTGCTTAACACTGACCTTCAATCCATTTCATAATCCTGTTTTCAGTTATCATATTCGCTGCAAATTACGGTGAATACATTGAATTTTAACACTATCACAATGGAGTACTCTACAAGCATCTACATTGAGGTAAACAACATTAATTAGGAGAGCTTTTTCATAAAACTCAGTCATGTTTGGTGATAAGATATACCAGTAAAGATTATGTCAGATCAGGAGGGACTGAAAGAGAACAATCATAAGTCTGCGAAGATGTTTTTCAGCTATTTGTTTATCAAGTCTTTCATGTATCTTTACTGTTCAGAGGTTATTTGCTTAGTTATCTTAAAATATGGTGTGAAATTTTATTTTTGTGAATTTTGACTATAAAAAAATTACCGAATATAGTTTGTAGTAAAAATAAACATTTTCTTTTGGTTTAAACAATGACAAAAAAGTAGATCTCACATAAAAACAACACAGAAAGCTTACTTTGTGGAGAGAAATAAAAATATTTTCACTGAATGTTTTCTTTTGTTTTGTTTTGTAGCATTTTGGCTTAGCTTTGCTTTATGAGTTTACATACACTGACATTAAAAATGACTCAAACTCACATCTATATATTGAAAATCATGTTGCAGCATCATTTTAATGCATCACTCAACATCAAATTTATTTTTATTATCCTGCATCCAGATATGTAAAAGCAAAATAACAAGAACAACTCACTTGGCTGTCAATTGCAAAAAGTAAAATAGTAATTTAAGTGAGAATATCAATACAGAAAACCAACAATTAAAGACATTATTTTTGTTCTGTTTTATCACTTACATCAACTTGTGCTTTACAAAAAATTACTTTAAAATAATAGAAATATGGTTACCTGATATTATTTTTGTGCTGTTTCAATATTTTACCACACAGATTAAAAAATAACACTGGAAAAAAAATTTAAGTGCAGCTAATAAACCGGGAACCTGGACACCTGGTGTTTAAATTTGGACACCGATTTAAACAAGGATGCTCAGTTTTACAGGCAATACGGTAACATGCAATTTTAACTTAGAAACACTTGAAATAAAGTGCACTATATTTTAGCACAAAGAAGAGCGTTAAAACAGTTTACTTAAGAAAAACAAGGTGAATAAAAAGACAAATCCCAGCAGCTGGAGTATCCTTTAAATCACCCTGAGGTTTCCAGACTTCAAATGTGTATATTTCCGTTGGTTAGAGTGAATTATGACATTAAGGGTTTCATATTATCCCCACTTCAAAGACGGTTAAACTTCTAGTTTCAGTGTTTCCAGCTAGCATGCTAACATTAGCTTGTTAGATCCCCCCTCAGCATCCGAGCTGACTAGCGGCTCCGCTAGCCTCCACAGCGGCCAGCTAGCCTTCCGCTCTGACCGCACAGACAAGCAAAACATTAAATTAACTTGTTTTTATGGGGGTTTTTTTACCTTGCGACGCAGTGCCCTCCGCTGAGGTTTTGGCTGCAGCTCTGAAGGTAAGGTATCCCAAAAGGCAGAGCACAATTGCAGCGGTCCGACTCCAGTCCACAGCCCACATCACTGCAGATGTTAAGTATCAAAGCAAAACGGCTCAAGAAACAAAGTAGAAACCAAACGTTTGGACTTTAAAAACTCACTGCAGGTCAACAACTGCGTTTATTGCGCGAAAAAATGCGACTCTCCATGTTTCTGCGGCATCAGCAGCCCTGATTTTGTGCCTGGTGAGCTGTGTTTCATCTGCCCCGTCGTGCGTCCCCAGCCCTTTTTTTTTTTCTATCGACGGGCCAGGGTCAGGGAGGAAGACGGCCCCATTCCTCTCAGCCTCATGCCCCAGAACAGCACCAACAGGCGGCTTGCTCCACGCGCAGCACCGCTAATATCTATGGAGGTCTACCGCCTCCTACTGGTAAAGAAGCGCAATGATTTATCCATAATTTGTGATCATTCCTCATATAATTGTAAATTCACTAATTGAAAAGCACTGGATTTGCAGCTGTTTAATTAAAGAGCAAATTAAACTTGAACATATTTTTAGTTTAAAAATTTTATTTATTTTATTTTCTAACGATGTTATTCATGGTGATTCACTTTGACAGAGCTGACAGAAATAAATTAGTTCACAATATGCTTCAGCAGAGGGATATGTACTGTTTTAAATTTGAAACACTTTTGTACAGATTTTTACATTTATTTAATTCAAAACATATATTTTACTTGTATTATGACATTAAGGGTTTCATATTTCTTAAGGTACATTTTATATAAGCTCATGATTATAAATGTCAATCTGTGGTCAGTTTATCTGTTTATTGATGGATGGATGGACGGACGCTACCTATGCAATACACTGTCACATAGATGGATCTACAATAAAACATAATTAAAATCAAATTTTTTTTAAAGTAAAAGTTAGTGTTGTATTGTTATCATTGAGGATTTTGTTTACATTGCAGAACCTTTTCAATTCTGCTGTGTATTAAGTCTTCTTTGCCTGTCATGTTCTACAAATGTATTCAGGGAAAATCCATACATAATTAGTATATTTAAGTCTGAAACATGACTGATGTTTTTAATGGCGTCTAAATTATTGATGGAAAACCAAAGCCAAACATTTTTATTTTATAGTTTACTTTTGTAAAAACAGGCCTGAAAGGTGAAAGAAGATGAAAAACTCAGCTTAAATTGAATGTGGGATTTACCTTGACATTAAATAATAATTTAGGAGACAAAAAAGGAATGTTGCAATAGATTTTGATGTGTTGCTGCTTTTTCATCTTACAATTTCACCTTTTAAATTTAAAAATATAAAAGTATGTGAAAAGAACACATGGTTTGTTATCGTATATGTTCCACCAGGACACTATTACATTTATTCCAAAGATAATCCAAGGTGATATCTCATAAAATTCCCACCAACCATTGCTAATCGATCACGGATTAGTTCTGGTTCTGGTTGGAAGAAGCCCAAGATCCACACCCAGGAAATCTTCCAAGCAAACCTGTTTGAAAGCTGGTAAAAATAGGTGGCACTGAGGAATGTTGCTTGTTCGCCTTTCTTATTTAGCGTTGTTGTGTTAAATGAACATTGTCATGTTTGACAATGTTCATTTAACATTGTCAAATGTTAAATGAACATTTGACAATGTTCGGGCCAAATAATTTGAGTCACAATGATACACTAATCTGAACGATGCATGTCTAGCAAAATGTTATTAACCATCTGTCTTACTTTATGGCAAGAGCAGGCAGGTTTCAAATATAACATAATGTGGGTGTGTCTAAATTAGCTCATAATACCGCTAATATAATCCTGTATACTTAAATTAAGCTTCATTTTTATTATTTTGATCATGTTTTGCAAAATCATCCAATGCTTCTCTAATATGATGCTTGTTTTCTCCTGAACTAGTGTTGTCACATGTTCACCTGTAAACTCCCTTTTTAGCCACACCTACACACACCTGCACACATCAAAGCTGTCACTCAGTCATGAAGTGCTCTACTGTCATAATCTTCCTTCTAAACGCTGTTAACATCATCTCTCTTGGTAAGAATGACCTTTACTCAAAGTCAACAATGAAGTTAAATGTTGTTTATTAAATGCAATACTTTGGATGTTATTGCAGTCATGAGATATGTATTAGTGAATACAAAATGTTAAAAAAAAACTCATGTCTAGAAATAGGAAGCATGTGTTTTTCTTCTGTATCCAACTTTAAGTGTTTATTTCCTCTTTGTTGTTTTTTCAGTTCCCCATGAAATAACATATTTTCTGGGCTGCTTTGAGAATGGCAGTACTGCAGTACAATTTGAATTTGATGGTGAGGAAATGTTATATGTTGACTTCCAAACAAACGAGATAGTTTACACTGTACCCACCTTCATTGATCCTGACCCTGGCCAGGTTTTAGTTGGTTTGAGTATCCTTCGTGATGCTCATGATAACAAGAAACTGTGTTCAGAACTACTAGGTGTGTTGAAATACAAAGATAAATCTCCACAAAAAGAAGGTAAATAAACCCTACATTAGTTTTCTTTGATAACAATATTGATAAAATGCTGGTGAAACTTTGGTTTGTTCTTTGACTTTCGTTAGATGCTCCGGACTCCGTGATCTTTTCCTCTAGAGAGGTAGAGCTGGACGTTGAAAACAGCCTCATCTGCTTTGTAAATAATTTCTATCCACCCTCCATCAAAGTCAGCTGGACTAAAAATGGCCACCCAATCTCAGAGGGGGTGTCACTCAGTCAATATCATCCCAATAACGATCAAACCTTCCGCCAGTTCTCAACTTTGACCTTCACACCGAGTGAGGGGGACATTTACTCCTGCACTGTGGAGCATCCCGCACTGGAGACGCCAAAGACAAGAATCTGGGGTAAAAAGCTTTACTAAATATACAGAACATTACAAAGGCCAATAAAGACTGTTTCTGTGTGTGTAAGCCATTTCATATATTTATTAACTTTCTCTACAGAAGCAGAAATCATCAAAAAGGATGAAAGTCTTTGGCCTGATATTTACTGTGGAGTCGGTCTTGGTGTGGGCTTGTCGGGCGTCACAGTCGGAGTGTTTTTCATTATCAAGAGTCAACATGTAGCATAGTTTTTTAGTTTTTAAATATAGTGAACTGTTACAATATTCAGGTGTTTTGGTTATGGTTTTCTTTTTTTTTTTTACATTTCCTTGTTTATTTTGTTTATTTTGTCAATTAATTTCTGTATTCATTATTGTCAGAAGTTTATTACTTTGTGTTTAAATTCTTAGTTTATTCTTGTACTTTGTTCATTGTACATTTACTAGTTGTCTTAGATCAGTCTTATTTCTTTTATTCTTAGTCTGTAGTGGAACTTGGAAAATCCGACTTCCCAGTACAAAAAAGCAACTGGAACGCCCCCTGAATTTGGACTAAATGCTAAAAATTGGGAGAAACTCCATTCACCCTAAGTTAGGGTAGTTGGAAATAACTTTGCGTTTCAATCTGGTAGCACTTCATATCAACGATATTAAGTTGTGGTGTAAACATGTTTATTTTACAATACATACTTGTAGTGCATCTAAAATCAGATTCTACATGTAAGTTGAATAAATTAAAAGTGGTGTTTTCTCAAGGAAATAAAGCTTAAATCAATGTTCTTAAGAGATACTGTAAACAATGGCTACTCTGGTCTTAGCACTTAATGTCTTTTAATATGTTTGGAAAATAAATACAAATATAACAAAAATATCAATACTGTATAGAGTTTTTCATCCTTGCTTAATAAACAAAAAACTGCTGAGTGTGAAGCTGTGAGCCATGTTTCTATGGTTTGAAGTGACGTTACCCATGCTACAAAGGATCATGATAAAAAATGAAACAGTTAAAAGGAAAAAAAGAAACAAACTCAAACTGGTGGAAACACAAAGAGACAATGAGAAACAAATGAGTGGCATGAGGAAGGTCAACAGGAGAGTCACACACTTGATTATGTCTTACATTTAGTCTTCATACTACTAAAACTGCATGTTAGACACAGATTATTTGACATTAGCGGAATTAGAGAACAAAAACTATTTATAGATCAGCAAGCTCGCCACGCCTGCACTGAAAACAATAACATTGGTAAACTTGTTTCTGTACTTCCTCATTGTTGTTGATCAGACCCAGTTAGATCTCACTCAGATCTCTGTTGCCAATCTGAGAGGATGGCTCAGGCTCAGGGCTGCTCTATTTTCCTGGTGCTTTTCCTTACGTTTTCACCAGGAGGTAAGTAACTTTGAGCTAATGCAACTCGTATTTTTATTCCTTTCCAAGCACAGTTGCTTCTGTGTTGTTCAGATGTAAAATGCGTTTCTGTAATCATTGAGCATTCGACATTTTAATGAAAATATTTTCTTATTTTAGGTGCTTTCTATTTATATGTGGTGGAACGGTGCCAGAGTAGCTCAAATGATGGTCATGATGCTGTGTTACTGGATCAGATTTACTTCAACAAAATGTTGGAAGGACAATACAACAGCACTGTAGGAATAGCCATTGGATACACAGAAAAAGCTGAAGAAATTGCCAAGATTCTAAACAAAAGTCCTGGGTTTATGAGGCATCAGGTATGGAAAACAAACCTCTGCAAAAGAAATGTTCCATTGGCACAAAAACTACTAACACCAGGTAATTTGCAAACAAGGCAGCACAAAAGAAATCAAATTGATGTATTTTTCTGGATGAAATGCACATCCTTGGATTGAATACAGTCTACTCAATCTTTTTGTTTGTCTATGTTTTCTAGTGGAGCCCTATGTTTGGTTGAGGTTAGAGAAGGCAGAGTACAGTCAACATCAGCAGATGCTCATCTGCAGCGCCTACGATTTCTATCCAAAGCAAATCCGGGTGACGTGGCTGAGAGACGGAAAGGAAGTCACGTCTGATGTGACATCCACTGAAGAGCTGCCCAATGGGAACTGGCTTTATCAGATCCACACCTACCTGGAGTTCACACCTAAACCCGGAGAGAAGATCACCTGCATGGTGGAGCATGCAAGCCTCAAGGAACCAAATCTTTATGACTGGGGTGAGAACGTCTGCATCCAGACAGAAAATGTTTAACTTCCTCTCTAAATTCAAAATCTTCTTTGTTTCATAAGATGGTAAATGGATAGATGAATGCATAGATGGGTGCACCAGCATACATGTCAGACCAGACATTGAAACAAATATGGAGCATTTCAGTTTAACTTTGTGTTTGTGATGAATCTGATTTTAGAGCCGGAGCCGGATTCAAAGAGGAGTAAGATTGTTGTTGGCTCAGCAGGGCTGCTGCTCGGTTTGCTGATTTCAATTGCTGGCTTCATCTATTACAAGATAACATCAAATGGTGAGGCAATGTTTCTCCTTAAACTTAATAACATTTTTAAAGCTGACTTCAGTATCTAAATTATGTTTAAATCAATTTTATTGAAACATTTTTTTTTACCTTTTTTTGGTGTGTTTTATAAACCCAGGGCGGATGAGAGTGCCTACAACAGAGGTGAGTTTTATCCTCTTTAGCTGTCCTGTGTGTACCTGTATACACCTGATTAATAACTTTATTTATTTGTTATCTAGGATGTATGTCCAGAAGAAACCCTCTAGGCTAAAGAAATGTTGAGAAGCCCCACACACATCCATCAACCACTGGAAACTGTTCTTAATATTTGAGAGACAACAAGCCTTCATATGCCTGAAGCTTTTTTTATTTAGCTTTTTACACATTTCTGCAGACAAGCACTAATATTGCAGCACATTTATTTCATCCTGTACTATTACACTATTGTAAAACAGCAATAAATAAACCTGTTCTTTGTCATTTTCTTCCAGTTCATCACTGGGTTGATACAAATACAAAGTCATTGAGTTTCATTTTGCAAACTTTTCATGTCAAGAGTGAGAGTGTAGAGAACAATGTAGAGAACCAGTTTGGTTTCTTAATTATTTGCAGAAACTTAGGTTTACCTAATAGAAGTGCATTTCTCTGGTAACCATATTTAGCTTGGAATATATTTTATGCAGACGAGGAATATCAGGATTTATTGTATAATAAAAGAAAACCTGCAGGTTCTGAATGAGATAACTATGACAAGAAGCATAAGGAGGGTGAGAAATAGTGTAATGCAGTAAAGACACAAGAGAAAAAACAGGTTTAAACACTGAAGCAGAAGAATAAAATGATAAAAGGAACTAAATGAACTAATCAGAGGTACAGCTGTGGCAGCATGAAAGCAGGGAAACTAATTTCTCTGGGAAAAACTTCAGCATGTGGGGTAAGACAAATTTCCCTCTGACAAAATATAACGTCATGAAATTACACCACCTTTAGACTTTTAAAGTCATAATGTTTTACACTTATAATACAAGCTTTCCACCACATTGGTCACATGTGAAATCCAGCGTTGGCGACGGCTACAAAGAAGGTGTGACCTCCACCAGACAGACTATTTTCATTTACAAGCTGCAGGTCAAGCATGAAGCGCGCTGCTCTACTTGTCTTCATTCTCAACTTCTATTTTGTCTTCTCTCAGAGTAAGAATCTGTTAGTGTTTCTTGTTAAAATAAAAGCTAAATCTTTTGTTGAATTTTAAATTCCACTATATTGTTTTTTTTTTTGATCCTCATGAAATATCCTATTTTGTCGGCTGCTTTGATTATGGCAACACCGACATACAGGCTGAGTTTGATGGAGATCAGATTTTATACATTGATTTCCAAAAGAAGGAGATTGTGTTCACTGTGCCAGCTGTTATAGTTCCGGATCCAGAAAAACTTTTGGGAGGATTTCATATCCTGAAAGATGCTATAGATAATAAAAAATTGTGTCAAGTTGCAGCAGAATTGCTTGAATATGAAATGAAGCACTTTACTGAAGAAAAAGGTAAATAAATCTCAGTCATTTTCTCTTTTGCCATAGCTGATAAAGTTCTGATGAAACTTTTCTTGTCTTGTGACCTTCAGACCCTCCAGACAGCAAGATCTTCCCCTCTAAAGAGGTAGAACCTGGGGTAGAAAACAGCCTCTTCTGCTTTGTGAATAATTTCTATCCACCCTCCATCAATGTCAGCTGGACTAAAAATGGCGTCCCGGTTATGAGAGGAGTGTCTCTCAGTGACTACTCTCCTAATAACGATCAAACCTTCCGCCAGTTCTCAACTTTGACCTTCACACCGAGTGAGGGGGACATTTACTCCTGCACCGTGGAACATGCCGCACTGGAGACGCCGAAGACAAGAATCTGGGGTAAATGTTTTATTTTTTTCATGCAGTATTATGAAAACACAATGTAAATATTTTACAATGGCAAAGCTGATCTTTAATATTTAATTTTTTCCTTTACAGAAGTTAAATTTCACAGCGCAGATCCAAGTCTTGGTCCAGTCATTTACTGTGGAGTGGGTTTGGGTCTGGGAATAATGGGGATCACTGTGGGAGTGTTTTTCATTGTCAAGGGACGAGTGAACTGATTAATCTGATGTTGAAGATGTTTAACATGAACGGTGGAGTAAAAAATGCATATTTTCATGTATAACAGCAATGAAAAAAATCATACTACACAATTTATCACCTTTAAACTCTATGTAGCATTTCTCTTGAACTTGCTTTATCCGATGCTTTACTAGACTGCATATTTGTAAATATTATAGTGGTTATTTATCTGTGAAATCAGTTATTCAAGCTTTATGCCATGAAGGACAAAATTTTTTTAAATTGATATTGCATTTAATATTCATTTCTTTTTGTTTTTTTTGTCATTTTTTTGATTGTATCATTACTACTCCTTTTACTATTATTATTATTAAGTCTATAAGAAACTATTTCCTTGTTCATAGTGTTGTGTGTGGAAAAATAAATGATCATTTGAAATGAAACTAATAATGTAACAATGTGGACTGTTGTAATCCTATTTTTCCTGATGTGTAATTTCTTTCAAATGTCTGTATGTTTCGTTTACTACGTTTAGAAATTGTGGAGTACTCATTGCTTAAGAAACAACATTTAACGTTATAATTTTTATGTGGGAGCAAAACATAGAGAAAGTTCACAAATCTAGAGCAAACTTAGAAAGCACCATCTACTCAACAACCCTGAAGAAAACTCAAACAAGGAGAACCAACATCCAGCTTTTTATTGCACAAATCTAGAACTCAAGCCAGAGCAATTGGAACCAACATTTAGTTTTATACTTGGTGACAGAATCAAACATGGAGAACCAACATTTAGTTTTATCAAAACAAGAATCCAGAGAAATGCCTGCTAGTTTATAAATTACTTATTCTTATTAAACATGGGGAACCAATATGCAGTTTTATACTTTTACCTTTTTGTTTTCTTTTAGTTTTGTTGCTTTGTTTGTATTTCCTTATAATTCATGAAAGACACTTTGAACTGCCTTGTTGCTGAAAATGTGTTGTATAAATAAAATTACCTTACGTTAACATTTATATTGAGTCTTTAATTAATAATTAACCAATGGTGAATTACCACCTCCTGACACGGAAATTTTAAAAAATCCTGTTTTGATCAGCATAAATGCTAACCGTGTAAGTGTTATAATGTAGGCAGCCATCTTTTGTTTTACATTTACTTGTCAATAATTAACTTATTTTTCACCTCCTGACATGGAGGTGGAACATGCGTTTTTATTGGTACAAGTGCTATTCCCTTAAAATAATAATGTCGATAAATGTGCTGCTGCACTTCCTTGCTTAGGCAGAATCATATCATTGCCAGGAAGCCATCAGTCAGATCTCTGCTTTTCAGCTGACAACATGTTCACTCAATGCTTAATTTTCTTGGAACTTTTACTGGTATTTTCATCAGAAGGTATGTGATTTTTGGTCAACACAATCTTTATATGCAGTGCTGCTCTTGTAGTTTCTTGCAGTCAGAGTGAGTTCACCGGATTTATTGATAATGTTTACATTTTCTTATTTTTTAGGTACTTTTTATGGTTATTATTTAGGTCGCTGCCAGTTTAAGTCTCCGGACAGCAGCGATGTTGTGCTAGTGGAACAACTGTACTTCAATAAGCTTTTACTTGGCCAATATAACAGCACTTTGGGAAAAGTGGTGGCATTCAATAAAATAGTAGAAGATTATGCAGATATTCTCAACAACAATCCAAGATTCCAGGCTCATCAAATATGGAAACTAAACCTCTGCAAAACAGGTGCACAACTGGCAAATGAAAATCTACCAGCTGCAGGTAATTCTCACAAGATGGTAAGAAAAATTGTACAGATACTTAGAAAAATATGTTACCTATCGTTAACATGATAAGTGTTTTAAACGTGAAAGCATATAAAGCTGCAGTTGTGTGAATCTTCAAATGTTATGACTATGATAAATATTTGTCATTTTGTGATGAAATATATTTTTCTAGTGGAGCCCTACGTTTGGTTGAGGTTAGAGAAGGCAGAGTACAGTCAACATCAGCAGATGCTCATCTGCAGCGCCTACAATTTCTATCCAAAGCAAATCCGGGTGACGTGGCTGAGAGACGGAAAGGAAGTCACAACTGATGTGACATCCACTGAAGAGCTGCCCAATGGGAACTGGCTTTATCAGATCCACACCTACCTGGAGTTCACACCTAAACCTGGAGAGAAGATCACCTGCATGGTGGAGCATGCAAGCCTCAAGGAACCAAATCTTTATGACTGGGGTGAGAACGTCTGCATCCAGACAGAAAATGTTTAACTTCCTCTCTTAATTCAAAATCTTCTTCGTTTCATAAGATGGTAAATGGATAGATGAATGCATAGATGGGTCCACCTGCATACATATCAGACCAGACATTGAAACAAATATGGAGCATTTCAATTTAACTTTGTGTTTGTGATGAATCTGATTTTAGAGCCGGAGCCGGATTCAAAGAGGAGTAAGATTGTTGTTGGCTCAGCAGGGCTGCTGCTCGGTTTGCTGTTTCAATTGCTGGCTTCATCTATTACAAGATAACATCAAATGGTGAGGCAATGTTTCTCCTTAAACTTAATAACATTTTTAAAGCTGACTTCAGTATCTAAATCATGTTTAAATCAATTTTATTGAAACATTTTTTGGTGTGTTTTTTAAACCCAGGACGGATGAGAGTACCTACAACAGAGGTGAGTTTTATCCTCTTTAGCTGTCCTGTGTGTACCTGTATACACCTGATTAATAACTTTATTTATTTGTTATCTAGGCAGACGAAACCCACTAGGCTAAAGAAATGTTGAGAAGCCCCACACACATCCATCAACCACTGGAAACTGTTCTTAATATTTGAGAGACAACAAGCCTTCATATGCCTGAAGCTTTTTTTATTTAGCCTTTTACACATTTCTGCAGACCAGCACTAATATTGCAGCACATTTATTTCATCCTGTACTATTACACTATTGTAAAACAGCAATAAATAAACCTGTTCTTTGTCATTTTCTTCCAGTTCATCACTGGGTTGATACAAATACAAAGTCATTGAGTTTCATTTTACAAACCTTTAATGTCAAGAGTGAGAGTGTAGAGAACAATGTAGAGAACCAGTTTGGTTTCTTAATTATTTGCAGAAACTTAGGTTTACCTAATAGAAGTGCATTTCTCGGGTAGCCATTTTTAGCTTGGAACATATTTTATGCAGTCGAGGAATATCAGGATTTATTGTATAATAAAAGAAAACCTGCAGGTTCTGAATGAGATAACTATGATAAGAAGCATAAGGAGGGTGAGAAATAGTGTAATGCAGTAAAGACACAAGAGAAAAAACAGGTTTATACACTGAAGCAGAAGAATAAAATGATAAAAGGAACCAAATGAACTAATCAGAGGTACAGCTGTGGCAGCATGAAAGCAGGGAAACTAAGGGAGAGAAACTAACCAACACAATGACAGCTCCAAGGGTCGACGACTAAAATGAAAAGGCCTGGCATTAATCTTTTATTTTATTATTGCCTGGCAATAATCTTGTACATTTGAATGTACAAGGAACAAACACAATAATAAACTGAGCAATTAAAAGCAAAGGAATGACCTGTATGGCAACACATCGTTAACAATAATGAGCACAAAGAAATAAACTAAATATGGCAAGACTTATGGAACAATAATATGACAATATCAGAAACAACACAAACTTAGCGCAGACTTTCTCACTCTGTGCTTCTCAGCAGTACAAAAGCTAAACTGATTTATATGAAATGGTCACAGAATGCCTTAAAACCAGTCAACCATATTTTTTTACATTTTACAATTTTTACATGTGATCGAATGTTTTTGATGCACTTTGCAAGCGTAAAGTTGAATTATTATTACTTTGGTTATGTTTGCCACATTCTGGGATTTTAAAACTATTATGGTGTAAAAAAAAAAGAGTTCCCAACCATGGTTAAGAGATACTGTGGGGTTTATTATCACCATATTTATGAGATCCTGTAAAATGAGATGCTCATAAACAGGTCAGAGTAAAACCTCTGCCAGTAAACAGATAACACACCTGTTTTATAAAATCAGCAGAAGGGGGAAAATGATGAAGAAAACTATTTGAAGCTATTGAAGAAAATTTCTCTGGGAAAAACTTCAGCATGTGGGGTAAGACAAATTTCCCCCTGACAAAATATAACGTCATGAAATTACACCACCTTTAGACTTTTAAAGTCATAATGTTTTACACTTATATTACAAGCTTTCCACCACATTGGTCACATGTTCCACTGTGAAATCCAGCGTTGGCGACGGCTACAAAGAAGGTGTGACCTCCACCAGACAGACTATTTTCATTTAGAAGAAAATCGTTACACCAGACCTGATGAACTTTTGAATTTGCAGTCAAAACTGGAGAGATTGTTTCTCTGTGGTGAAACATACATCATACTAAACTTTACCTGTCACTTAGAAAAAGAAAAATCATTGCTATTTGCTAAATAATTCATATTAAAACTAAAACAACTGTAACAACTTGAGGTATCTACTGTTTGAGTTCTGAACAATAACTTCAGCTCCCCCTAGAGGCGCCTCCAAGACATTACATAAACACAGTCAAAGCCGCTGATATTAGATTATAAACACAGCATTTTCAACGCGTCATACAAAGTTTCACAGATAAATGCGTCTTTTATATAAGTTGTTCTGAATGACTGCCAAATTAAACCCTGATGTCTGATCAGTAACTAGAAGGAAACATTCGCCTGTCAGACTCGACGCAGGGCTCAACAGTGTTGCCTGCTCCACCGCCGCCTTTATGCTCCAAAAATAATGAGCCGCTTTGGGTTTTATTTCGTTTTTCTCTTCCTGTTAGTGAAAAGCCCGAGTGTGATTTTATTCCTGTGTTTCGCCATCTTTGTCTACATCCATTACAGAACCCGATAGGGGAAGGAACCTGATCGATGCAGGAAAGTGATCAGGATGTAGGCCGTTCCGTTCAGCATCCGCCTCATTTATTTACGATCACGTCACGGATCTCTCGTCCTTGTCTCCAGGAGGATGGCGTCAGACCCAAGTGATGGACTGTGCTGTTCCTGTGCCGGAGGTCGACACCAGAAAGCAGGTCAGACGGGGGTGGCACCTCACCGGGCAGGATGCGCGATAAGAGATGTCTATAAAGCAGAGACACGGAGCTGAGCTCTGCAGTCCAGACAGAGGGGAGGACCCGAACCGACTGGTAAGACTCAACTTCTTGTTTCATCCTAAGGATGTTATTTGTTTTACCCTCTAGATGAAATGCTCTGAGCCAGCTGGAGAAGCTGTATCTTTAAGTTGATTAGGTTTTTTAATTTGTCACAAATTTATTGTTTCATCAAAATTTAGTTCTTCTGAAGGAAGACGCTGTGAAGTGAAAGGTGAAATGTTTCATTCTGATAGAGATTAATGCTTGTAACATATTTATAAATCCCCTAAAAGAAGGAATATTTCCATCATTGAATGGAATGTAGTGTAGTACATCCAGAAACATCATTTATATTTTGCTTGGATTTGATCTATTGTTGCAGACAAATGTGTTGGTCGAACTGGTAAACATGTGCCAAGAACCTGGAAATAAATTTTCAATCACAAAAGCTTAATTATGCTGTATTTTAGAAAATGTAACTTTTTATCCCATGAACCCAGAGGCGGTCCAGCCTCTTCCCACCCTGCAACAAAGTTGTTTGACTGGGGGGACTTAAGAGTTGGGACATTTGAGGACCGGATGGGAGAAGAGGGAGGTGCGCGCTTATGCCGTCCCCCATAAGATGCCACTCTGGGTGGTTGCCCATGTCGCCCATATCGAAAGCCACCACTGCCGGTACCTCTACCATTACCTTTAAAAAATATATGCATCCAAACATTTATAGCTTAAACGGTACTTTTAAGTTGATTTGGTTTCATGCAACTTCCTATTAGTAATTCAGGAGTTCCTTTTTCCTGGGAAAAATCTGAATGTAATCTGACAGTGAATTATTTCTTTCGATTATTTTCCGTTACGCTGAATCAGGATCCTGTGGAGGACTGTTTGTGCCATTGCTCCGAAAAATCAATCAAAATCCTGGAACTCAAGGCTTGTTAGACTATCTTTGTTGTCCATGTCTTTGTTTATTTGTAACTTTTATCACCAGCAGCTGACCTAGATGTTAATTTTAACTCACGGTCAAATATCTTGGCCTTATCCTGTTTCTTTTCAACAAGCGTGTATGTTTTTTTGTTTCCTCCACAGCTCTTCCTTGACACAGATTTATCTTTATCCTAATGGGTCTCATCCTGTCTGCCTGGCTGAACGGCCCAGCAGCTGATGACGTCGCCTCTTCTTCATCGGCTTTGCCTGCGCTGGCCGTCCCAACCTCGTCCAGAGTCACCCTCGTCCTGAGCTCCTCTGCGGTGTCTCCGGGAGACAGACGCTCACACTGGAGCTCGCAACACCACTCTCCTCACTTCCAGCTCTCTCAATGCAAGCAGGAAGTGACACGCGCACCTGCAGAGCTCAGCAGCGACGGGGTCAGGGCCGAGGTGGGGGTGGAGAGTGGGCTCCATGTGTGGGAGGTAACTTGGAACCCTGAGCACAGAGGAAGTCATGCAGTCATAGGAATTTCGAGGCAGGACTGTCCTCTGCAAGACTCGGGTTATAAAGTTCTAGTGGGTGGAGATTCCCTGTCATGGGGATGGGAACTACAAACCAATCAGCTCTGGCATGGTGGAGAAAGTCTGGCGTGTTTTCCGTGTGAAAGGAGGGGGTCTCTTAGATTAAAATCCTCAAACCCACTGCACAGCAAAGAGACAGATGCACCTCTCCTTATTCCTGAACGTGTCCAGCTGGTCCTGGATGCTGATGCGGGGACCCTGGGATTTGCTGTCGATGGCAGCTTCCTGGGTGTTGCATTCAGGGACCTTCCTCCTGGAGTGGAACTGTTCCCAGCAGTAAGCAGCGTGAGAGGAGGAGCACAGATTGAGTTGCGCTATCTGAATGGAACTACACGTAAGGGTCCAACACATGAATTGTCTTGATGAACCAGGTTTAATACTGACATATTTGTTTCTACTACATTTGCAGGTAATCCTCCCGCCCTGAAGGCTCTGTGTGGACTATCAATTCTGCAAAATTTAGGGCAACAAAGGCAGAACCAAGTGGACAAACTGCCTCTACCACCTTTACTCCAACACTACCTGCTTTCCTCTTTCTAATTCCGCTTGCACATTTACATGCAAACGCTTTTGCATTTTCTTTTCAATACATTTGTTTGTATTGCTTATGTTATTTATCGATAGTTTTATAATTGAGAAACTCACTTTTTATAATGGTATTAAACACCTTCACACAAGCCTGACAAGGACTCCTTCAACTACAGACACATGTAAATAGTCTGAATGTTTGTTTTAATAAACCAGACTTGCGGATGCATAAACCTTTTCCAAGGTGTCAGATCTTTCTTTTTTTCTTTTACTACTGAAATTGAAGTATTGAAGCACTGTCAGTACTGCTGAAAATCGATTTTAATCTTTTGAAAACTGACACAAATGTGATCTCAGGTTGTGATCCAGAAAATGCAACTTTTATGAGTTGTAAGAAACATCCAATCATGAGTGCAAGTGTATCTTGTTGTTTATTTCACAGCATTTTTTTTTTTACTCACGTTATTGAAATGATTAAAACTGAAAAGTTCTAGTTTTCTCAATTTAATATTCTTTCCCAAATGTCAGCAAATTTATAGTTTTAAATTAAGTTAAGCACAAAATTATCCACACCTGGCAGATTTCAATTTCATTTTTTTTTCCACCAAGAAGTGCATTTCTGATGTGAAATAGGACAGGTATGTATCAAAAGGCAATAAAACAATGTGTAGGGGTATCGGCTTTGAAAAAACAAAACAGACAATATTTACATTTTAATTTTGAAAAATCCCATGTCAAAAGTGATTCACACTGATTTCCATAATTGATGGAAAAATATTCATTGGCATTACAGGTAATGAACCCTTCTTGTTACTTCTTATTACAGATGGCCACCTCAACCTCTTCCCACAGGTTCAAATTCCAGTTCAAGCCTGAACTTTGACTGGACCACTCCAAAATGTGGGCCAGTCAAAAATTTTATTTTGAACTTATCTACCAATTTCTGTCATCCTTGCATGCATGTGTATTGATGCTGACATGTTATTTCTGTGTCACTGTTTGCTTTAGGTAATACTTGGTGGTGTAATTATTACTCCACCAGTATTTGATGAACTGTGTTTCACTTAGTTGTACTTTTTATGTGTAAAACAAATTGTGCAAAGACAATAAAAGCTTAAAAATTGGAGAACAGAGAGTGAAATTCACCTTCTATGTCTATCTGTCCTTTTTTTAGACCACGCATTGGAGCAAAAACGTTCTCCAAAACAGCATGGGCTGACTAAAACCGTAATGAACATAAATAACAATGTCAGAATACCTTAAGTTCACGTGAATCTTTTGTAAGTTAATTAAAAAACAGAAGCACCAACTGCTGCCAGAGGTACTAAATATTTTAGACGGGGATGGGGCGAGGGTTGTTGCCACAGCAACAAAATGAGGAAAAGGCTCGCGAGAGAAAAGGCGCACTGAATATTCGGATTTTGACCACAAATAAAAACTTTCTTCGTAATAATATAAGTACTGGTTTTAGAGGCGTGTGGAAAAGTTTCATTCACGAGATATGACCCAAGTAGGTACGTAAAGAAAGACGGGTTGACCTGGTGAGGACAGAAAAACATTTACGACCTAGCAAAGACGAGTTAGCTTACTTTGGTAACTTGCTAACTACAGACGTCAACGTCTGCCTCTCGTTACACAAAATATATATATTTTTTTACTTTACATTTTCAAAGAGTGAGGTTTTATATATATTAGAATTATCATTTCAGTCAGATTAAATGTTTTACAACTCTCAAACGGTGCTTAAACAATTCTGACTTTGTGGTCATTCGGTTGAGGTTTAGTAATATTAGGTGCTTTACGGTTCAGAACTACAGCTGATCAAATTTAGTTCAGACGTTTTACTAAACTTACAAATAAGACCCGCACACATGAATAATACTGTTTGTAAGGATGTAATTACTATTTCTGACGTATTCAAATGACCTATAATTAAAACATATTAGAAGATTCAAAAAAATTATGTAAATAATTACAAATAGTTCTGCAGCTGCAAGGCATCACTCAATTAAATAATTACAACAGAAAGTGGGGGGCAATGATCAAAAATGTGTATGGATACACAGTTTAAGTTCTAGAGTTTATTCATCCTGATTATTTTTGTGCAACATTTCCTGCTGTTGTCTTGTCACAGGTACTCTCTGACCCTTGCTACACGAGATAGAAAGTGATTTGTCTTTTCTCTTCAACTCAAAACTTGGATGTCCTGACCGCCTAGGCCGCAAGCCACCTAGTGGAACATCAGAAACATCTCAGTAATTTGCTTTTCATTGTAACCTCCCTTACTTATATTTTATGTAAATGACCAACACAAAGTAATCCACAGTTGTTGTGGTAGTAGTACTCTAAAATCTTAAAAGGGCCATTTAAAATCATTCTGTGTCAGCTTAATTCAGCTCTTTTTTAACAGAGTAATGGCAGCTACCCTTGAGGATCCAAGAGGAGCCATAGGTTTCGGGGACCCTGGCAGGAATCTAGATGAAGAGGAGGAAGATGACACAGCAGCAGTAAGATGGATCCATTGACTAATAGAGGCATTGATTCTAAAAGCATCTGAATCAACTCTGTGATATTTACATTTTTATTTTTAGGTTTTATTGAGTGTTTTAGTGCAGCGTGGACAGTTGGGCCTTTGTTTCTACGATAGTGGAGACTCGTCTTTACATTATATGGTGGATTCTCCTGATAACTATGAGCTTCACTTGTTGTCCAGAGGTAACTAACAAACCCTTCACTCTTTCAAATTAGGTTACAGCTTCATCTTTTAAGCAGCGTTTACTTTTTCTCTCCTATTAAAGTCCAACACATCTCTATTTTCTATTGTTAAGTCATTCAGGAGGTCAGGCCCCATGTAATCCTAACCAGTGCAAAGCAGGAACGCTGCTTGACCCAATATTTGCAGCAACTTGGTGAGCTCTGAAAAAACAGCACTAATATCAGATAACAAGTGAAAAACAAAAATGTTAAGTATTTTGTTTGAACATAATGTTTGATGAGTTGTTTCTATGTCAAGGGAACTTATTGAGATTAGAGATGTTTGACTCTGTAGCTGGTAAATGTGATAAGAGAAAAACTGATTGTGAAAGTTGTTGTGCCCTGTTTTCCCAGATTTCCTAATTAGGAAAGCTGCAGGACTAAGTGAAACTAGTCAGTAAATAAGGATTGTTCTAAACTCATGCTTTGGATTTCAGGTTCTGACCCACACTATAAACCCGAGGTGGTTACTTATCCATATGTTGACTTTGGTAAAAACATACACAATTACAAACTACATACCTCCTCTTCAGTTTTCAGGCTAAAGATTTGTTAGAAAAAAATAATATTTTCCAAAAACAGACATAAAATTGCTCATCATGTTTAAATGTTGCAGGTCTGGAGGTCGGTAAGCAGAGGCTTCTTTCCGCCCATCTGCCTTTCCTCCCATCTTGCATTTCAGAGAGGGACAAAATGTCTTATCTTTCCTCCTGTATCACCTTTGACTCACCCTTGATGGTGAGCCAGATCTCTATGTTACCCTGTCCTTATAGCCCAGTTATGAATCAGTCATGTTCTAGCATTTGAAAGGGTCTGTTCTCCTGTTGGAAAGCTTAGGGCAGTGGGAGCTCTGCTGAAATGTCTGGACAGGAGGAGAGTGGGAGTAGAACTGGAAGACAACACTGTTGGAGTCCCAATCCTGCAGTTTCATGCCTACACACTGTGAGACACACAAACATGGAGTTAGACACACTCACAGGCACTTTAATGTGTCTGTTTATATTCCAGTATGAGGCCCTCTAAAAGGTTTCTTGGAACTTCAAGTCAGCTGCCCCTTCGTCAAAATGTTTCTGCGTTTTATCCCAATTTACTTCCATTTTGTTTCTATAAACAAAACATTACGTGCCAGTTTGCTTAACCCAGGTGTATCATTTAATTTCACCTGATATTTTAGAATTTTGACAAATTATGGAATTAAATAAAATATTTGTAAATCTCATTCATAATTCAACGTAAATTGAAATTACTTCAGAAGATTTTATGTTACACCCTGTTTTCTTTCATTGTGGTTCTAAATCCTTTGGTGTTGCTTGTCTCTTATTCTGGGAGATATCTGAGTGATTGTAGCATTTGATTAAACAAAAAAAAAATCTCTGATACTTTTTATTAAAGTCATATATTTTCTAGACTAGTGACTTAAATGTATTAATAAAATTTTTGTCTGTTTTCTACTTCTCACTATAGCAAAGAAGTGGTTTACATCGACCGGGACACCTACAGGCAAGTATTCAAATTATACCTTTGAAATTAATCTAAGCTTCAGAAACAATCTTTTATTCAATCCTGGCCTTTAGTGTTCTGTCATTGCCATGTTTATCTGACAGAAACACATCTGATCAAAGTTAGTGAACAATTAGTTTCTGACATGGTAATGACAAATTATTCATAATTTAAGTCAAGTTATTTAAACAGAGACAGATGCAACATGGACTGGTAAACATGTAGAACTTTACATTCAAAACAGCAATTTTTTAAAATAAAGCCATTCAAGTATTTCTCAGTTTTGTGACGTTTATATGACTGTCTCTGCTTTATCATTTTTTCTTTTCACTACAAGCGCAGTTAAATGAAGTAAAATAAATGTAGTCTAAAGAGGTAAATCAGTTCAACTATGCTTAGCAATGTATGTGACGCTGTGTTTTTTTTCTGGTCTAGTGTACTTCAGATCTTTAAATCAGATCTGCACCCATCAGTCTACAAACTGCAGTCAGGTGAAAAGGAAGGACTAAGCCTCTATGGTAAGCGTCTCAGATGGTATTAATTTTCTGATGTTATTTCCTCTTATTTAAAACTGTTAAAATAAATTAATTCTTGTTTGTGTGCATTACAGGAATATTGAACCGATGTAGGAGCAAATTTGGATCGAAATTGCTCCGGTGTGAAATTATAAATTCAGTGACACAAAATAAAATAAATTCAGGCATCATGATTATCTTCAAAATTATGAACAAGTAAATATTTTGTTTGGTATATTTCAGTATAAAGAAATCCTATTTTTCTTGCTTTTGTCTGGCAGTCAGTGGTTTCTTCGACCTACACGAGACCTTGCAGTGCTGTATAGAAGACAGGAAGTGATCCGTTTCTTTACGTCACCTCGAAACTCGGACATCTTGAACACCTTGCAGGCCTCGTTGCGGAACATCAGAAACATACCAGTAACTAACTTTGGATCTGACCACTTTAAATGCCTCTCGGTATTCATACCAACTGAACTTTAACAAACATTTGTGGTTGTTACATGAAAAGTTGTGAAAACAGTTGAAGAGTTGTGTATAATTTTGTAAAACATTGTATACAATAAGATACCCTTAAACGAATAGGAAGTTTTCATGGATATCTGTACATGTTAGGGTGTCCTGCGTCGCATGACTCTCTCTAGCACCAAAGTCACTGACTGGCAGACTCTCTATAAGGTTGGAGCCATTCTATTCTGTAGCTTTGTTATATGTTTTTATTGGTTGACACGGCTCCTAAAACACATTGATATGTTTCTGTCTGGACGTCAGACGGTATACAGCGCAGTGTGCATCAGGGACTCAATGCGGCACCTTCCTCAATCGATTCAGCTGTTTCGGGAGATCAGTGAGAAACTCTCTGAGGATCTTCACTACATCGCCGCTCTCATAAACAAAGTTGTGAGTTTTTCCTCTTAAATTGCATCCATTTTCCATTGTTACTCAAAAAACTTTAGACTTTCATGGATTTTGTTCTTGTAAGCTGGACAGAGTTGATGTTAATGAGTGTGGTAATATTTTTAAAGGTGGATTTTGATGCCAGCTTAGAAGAGAACCGCTTCACTGTCAAACCCAACGTTGATCCTTCCATTGATGAGAGTATGTGCACAGATTCACCCATTCAGCTTTGATGTGCTGGATCTTTATGTGCTTCTGTCTTGGCTTTATTTTTTTCAGAGAAAAGGAGGATGATGGGGCTGTCAGACTTCCTGACTGACGTTGCCAGAAGAGAGCTTGAACATCTGGACTCTCGAATCTCCTCCTGCTGTGTCATTTACCTCCCGCTGGTCAGACACTTCCACATATTGAGATTTTTTTGTCACCTCAGTCAGCTGTAACTCATATTATTCTATTATGAAAACTGATAATACAACAAG